CGCGTCAGCCCCCGGGCCGCCTGCGGCTGACTCGGGCTGGGGACCTGATTCCTCCCGCGTCCCGCCGGGAAGGTTCCACTGCGAACCCCTGCGGGAAAAGGTGGTGGCAACCGGCAAGCAGTCTTCTGGGTCCGAGTCTCCGCCCGCGATTGCTCGCTCGCCCTCCAACCCCGTGATGGAGCGGGTCGAAAGCGAAGGGGTGTCTAAACTCCTTAACCGGGACGTTGAAGGGAACGATCGCGGACGATTGGGAGTGAACGCCTGGCCCAGATCCCAGCCCGTAATCAATCGCCTCCAGCCCCGGGACCGGACCGGATGGGGCGAGATGTTCTGATTCGTGGTCTGGAGGTCTTTGAACCGGTCCTCCCCCACTTAGGCTCCTGTTGCTCTTAACCTTACGCACTGTTGACCTTTCCCTCCGATCCCCCTCTTCCTATCTCTCAAATCTTCTTCCTCACGTTGGCGCCCATATTATTGCACTGTTTGATTTTTCTTTAAAAATCCCGAGTTGTTCCCTTAGGGCCTCGGAGCCCTCGTGTCATAAGGGGTGACTAGTTGGGCTGCTCTACCTGCCAGGCCAGCAGTTCAAAGCCACTCTTCGTGGAAGAGAAACAGGCTGTGTGTTCCTGAAGAGTTAGTCTCAGAAACCCACGGGGGCAGCCCTACGCGCCCTCATTGGCTCGCTCCGAGCTGGGTTGGACTTGATCTACCAAGTCTGCAGGAGGTTGAGCTGAACTGGGAAATGAGCCCCACGTTTCCCTTGTGGCATTCAGTCTCATCCGGGACCTTATCCTCAGCCCCACCACGTTGAACTACTTTTGAATTCAAGGTGGCCAGCCCAGAGCCTGCACTTTCAATGACATGTGAATTCCGTGGACTCGACCTTGCTGTGGGAACTAGTTCTCATCTCTCAGCCTCGTTTCAAAGCTTGCTTTTCTTCCTGTGTGTCTCTGGGCCACTGTTTATTCAGCCAATGTGTTTGTGCACCTGCTATGTGCCAGAGGTACTTGTAGGCAATGGTGAACCAGTAAGTGATTGTAGTTGGGAGAGACTCACTAAACAAATCCTAATTTGAGAAGGTATGGATCGTGGTGATATGTGAGAGAGTCTGCTCTGGTTAGGGAGTTTCAGAAACCGCCTTCAGCTTGGGAAGGCTGCTGGATACAAAATAACACTTGACATCAGCAGTAGCTAACTAGGAATTCAATAATCGAAAAAGATAACGACTTAAGTCCCTGGGTTTGGAACTTCTGATTTACAAACGACTCACATTTGTCAAGGATTTCATCTTACATGGACCCACAATCAGTGCTCCTAGAAGTAGCAGTCAGGAGATCAATGACAGGCTGTATTGGATAAATCTGCCGCACAAGACCTCTTTAGAGTCTTGAAAAACAGGGAGGTTAATTTGCAAACTAAGGTGCACCCGACCCAACCCTTGGTGTTTTTAATTGCCTCCTATTCATATAATAGTTGGACATTGAACGAGGAAGACCAAAGAAGAATCGATGCTTTTGAATTATGGTGCTGGAGACGCATATGAAAAGAACCGTGGACTGCCAAAGAACTAACAAATCTGTCTTGCAAGAAGGACGGCCAGAACGTTCTTCAGAGGCAGGATGGCAAGATTTTATCTCTTGTACTTTGGACATGTTGTCAGGAGAGACCAGTCCCTGAAGAAGGACATCATGCTTGGTAAAGTGGAAGGGGGAGCAAAAAAGAGGAAGGGCCTCAACAAGATGGATCCACACAGTGGCTCCAATACAATAGGCTCAAACATAAGAACCATTGTGAGGATGGTGGCAGACTATGCAGTGTTTCCTTCTGTTGTGCTTAGGATCGCTATGGATCAGAACCGACTGGACTGAACCGAATGAAAACAGCAGCAGCAACTACACAGCTGGCCATCAGTATCAACTGGCAACTTCTTCATCACAATCACCTTCACTTGCTGCACACAGCTCTTAAACCATAGAAAAGGCATCGTCTAAGTCCCAAACCCGACTGCACGCAAGTCCTAATGACCCTGCGGGACAGAGGGCTTCCACAACTATCCATCTACAGAAGCAGACCGCTCTGCCATTCTCTCCAGGGGACACTAGTGGGTTTGAACTGAAAACCTTTCAGTTAGCTGCTGCTTAAAACTCAATCCCCTGTGCTGCCGGGCCCCCTGCATTGAAATAAGCTTACCGTAAATAAGTATGCATTTGTTCTGGCTGACCTACAAGTTTGTCAGGAAGGAACCTCATTTGCAACTTGCCTGTTTTCAAAACAGCAGTCAGAACTAGCCAAACCCAACCCACTGCCACCAAAGTTGACCTGATTCATAGTGACCCTGTAGGACAGAGTAGAAGGTTTACTTCCTGAGGCTGCATTCTTTTTGGGTGCAGAAAGCCTTATCTTTCTCCTCTGGAGCAGCTGGTGTGTTCGAACTGCTGTCCTTGCGATTAGCAGCACAAAGGTGGAACCAACTAGACTACCAAAGCCCAAATTCACTGCCATTGAGTCAATCTGACTCATAGCTACCTTATAGGACAGGGACAGGGTAGCACTGCCCCTGTGGTTTCCCAGACTGTAACTCTTTACAGGGTAGCAAGCCTCTTCTTTCTCCTGTGGAGCAGCTAGTGGTTTTAAACCATTGACCTGTGGTTAGCATCCCAGTACATAACCCACAGTGCCACCAGGGCTCCTAACTAGACCACCAGAGCTCCTGAAATAGACCAAACTTAAGTTGTGTAGTCCTTTTGGGAGAGAAACATAATGCTCTACTCAAAGACCTAAAGAAGACCCACGTAAATGGAGAGTTGAACCATGTTCATGGGTGAGAAGATACAATATTGTAAAGACGTAAAAACGTTTAATTCCAATGAAAATCGCTTAATAGTTTTTCTTGTACCTTATCAGGTTGAACCTAAAACTCATAGCAAAAAGCAAAGATCCAAGAATAGCTACACCATTTTTGAAGAAAATGGAAAATTAAATAAAGTCCCGTTCATGTATAAAAATAGTAATGTAAAGCCATGATCATTAAGGTGCTATTGTATTGGATCCGGGATAGAAATGAAGACTGGTGGAACCCAACATAAAGCTTACAAACACCCCAGGCAGATCATAATGGAGCCCTGATGGTAGGATGGTTTAGCACTTGACCGATAACTGAGAGATTGGTGGTTCAAACCCACCAGCTGCTCCATGGGAGAAAAGACTAGTGACCTGGTACTGTCAAGTCTGTGGTCTGGACAGCCCTATGGGACAGTTTTCTCTGTGACATAGGGTCACCATGAGTCGGACTCCACTAGACAGCATACCACAACAAAGTATACCACTAAGTGTACACGACACGAAGGAGGAGGACCGTACAGATTAGGACAGCCGGTATAATGTCGAGGGATAGGTGGAATAGAGAGAAAATCCGATTCCTACTAAATACCATTCATAGCGGTAGTTTGCAGCTGGAGAAGGCCCATGTGATACTTCGGGGATAAACCATATGGAAAGCTGTCTTTGTTGTATCTGGAAGACCTTCTTAAGGTACATAAAACACCACTGAGATACTGTTGCATCCAATGAGAGGAGAGGGTCTCCTGAGCTAGACTATAGTGGTAGCCGTGAGGCGGAGAAAAAGGGAGGGGATTAGCATGCAGCAGAGTCAACAGGACTCCTGCAAGGTTTGGCTGTGGGGGGGAAGAGAACAAGAAATCCAAAGGCACTTCTGTAACTGCCTTGCACTGCTAGGTAGCTGGTGGTCATACAAAAGGCAGGGGGCCTGTTGCCATAGTAATTATGTCTTGGTCTGCTAACTGCAGGGTCAACAGTTCAAAACAACCAGCTGCTTCTTGGGAGAAAGACAGGACTTTCTACTCCTGTAAAAAGTTACTTTCTTGGAAACTACCTTGTCCTATAGGATTGCTGTGAGTCAGCATCCACTCAGTGGCAATG